CAGAACATATGAAAGAAAAATCAACCACAGCAGTGATTTTTACTGACTTTCCTCTCTCCTTATGAACAGGTAAACCTTTGCCCTTCATGTTTAGTTGTTCATAAGTCTGTACGTGGATCTAGATGTGCATTATCTTTGTTATGTATCTGACAGTGCTTTGTTTCCAGAAATAGTGAAAACATTAACTTACAATTTGGCATGCAATAGATCAAACTCTTCTTGAAATCAGAGGAAACATTTGAGTTAATACAATGTGGTGATTATGGTTCACAGGTTTCTTAAGACAATTGAAAGCAGTTAAGTATATTGCTCTAGGTCAGTGTTTCCCAAAGTGTGGAGGGTATGGGAAGAGTTTGGTGGGGTACACGCTACACCGGAGTTTGGTGGGGATATGCACTGCACCGTGCTTAGCTGCGCCTAATTCTACGTTCTCATGAGTACAGGGGGTACTCAGCGTTACGAAAATTATAGAAAGGGTACACATATGTCAAAAGTTTGGGAAACACTGCTCTAGGTGAACGTGCTGGCAGTCTGCCTTCCTGGATGAGGTGGAGGGATGGTCGTGTTAAGCATGATCACTGTTTGGTTTTAAACATAGATTCTGTTAAAGTGGTTTCAAGTTTGCTTAGTGAGTAGGTCCAGAATATTCCCTATGACCCTTGTCCACGTGGCTCTAGAGGTTGGTACAATGGGTATCCTTTGGAAAATGTCGGAAACACCCTACCTGGCTCAACAAAAATACCCCTGAGAGTTTCTTCCTCCTGCCAGAATGGCTCTCTTAGGGATTGTTCCTTGGACTACACTGATTGTATCACACCAACTCATCTTTCATGCTGAAAATATCTTTGGAGACTTGCTTGTGTAAGTAGTGGGGTAAGGAATACAGAACTGTGGTTAAGTGAGGTACAAACTTGTTTGATGACATCAGGACCATACAATTATTACTTTCTCAGGCAGAAAAGGAAAAGAAATCAAGACTCCTTACAGGGACAAAAGAATGACATTTGCTAGCGAGAAGGGAGTTTCTTTCTCATCATTTTGCAAGCTCACCCCTTCTGATTGTCATGTTTGGCTTGTTTCCCTCACCTTATTCTGGCAGTCTACTCAATACCCAATCAAGAAGCCTTAGCTCAGAAGAAGGAAGAAATATAAAGACTGACAAAAAGGAACATGGATGTAAGAGGGACATATAAAAATCCAATTAACCTTCTTTTGTGTGTGTGCTGGGGACCCAGAGTGACTTGAAAGCTATAATTAAGATACCGTTACAAAAATTTTTATTACTCCCAAAGGAAAACATGTGCCTCCCTTTCCTCCCCTTCCCCAAGCTCTGCCAACCACAAATTGAGTCTCTGCATTGATATTTTTGCTTATTTTGAACACTTCATATAGAAGCATACAATATGTGGTCTTTATGCCTGGCTTCTTTCACTTCCTATTATGTTTTCTATGTTCATCATGGGGTAGCATGTGTCAATCCTTCATTACTTTTTATGGTTGAATAGTATTCCATTGTGTAGATATAGCACTTTTGCTTCATTCTTCAGCAATTGAAGGTCATTCACTCCCCATTTCTCTGACTCTTTGAGTGGAGTGTACATACCTGTTCCTCTGAATCTAGGCTTGGTCATATACTTACTTTTGTTTAATTGAATATATGAGCAGACATGAAGTGCATAAAAGATGTCAATATGCTTGGGTGCTTTTGATAGTCTCTTTTGTCTCCCGTGATTGTCATGAGAAGAGCATGCCCCACATAGTTGTTGAGCCTTCATATTAAAATACCCAGTGACTTACCTGGAGCAGATTTAAACACAATCTGTATCCTAGAGACAAGCCTACCCTAACTGTATCCTGAAGCAGAATAACCCAGATGGCCCAGAGCATGTGAGCATGGAGAAAAAAAAATTACTGTTATAAGTTTTGGGGAAATTTCTTATGAAGCATTACGATATCAATAGCGGAATAATACTGAAACCAACAAATGATTTTTTTATATCCTTGGCTGGCAATAGGGGGGATCTGTTAACTCCAACCACAACTTTAAGTGGTAAGGGAAGGGAATGGTTACTAGAACATAAGAACTATAGGAGAGAAACCTGGACAGGATTTGCAACCTTTGTTTTTTTTTTGTTTGTTTTTGTTTGTTTTTTAATATATTTTATTGATTTTTCACAGAGAGGAAGAGAGAGGGACAGAGAGTTAGAAACATCGATGAGAGAGAATCATCGATCAGCTGCCTCTTACACACTCCCTACTGGGGATGTGCCGGCAACCAAGGTACATGCCCTTGACCGGAATCGAACCCGGGACCTTTCAATCCGCAGGCCGATGCTCTATCCACTGAGCCAAACTGGTCCCGGCGGGATTTGCAACCTTTGCTAGAAGAACTCAGTCACAGTCACTTCTCAATCTGGTAGATGTGGTTTGCCAAACTCAACCAGAAGCCAGAGAGCAAGAGCACCATTTATGCAATCCATAAAGGTCAGCCTCCTGGGCACAGAACAGGGTGGAAGAGAGTGGATAGTAGTTAAAAAGGGCATGAAAGATATAGAAAAGAAATATGAACAATCAATTTCAAGTGAGGAAATTTTGAAGAGATGCATAATCACATGAGTAATCAGAGAGGATTTTAAATAGAACAACAAAAAACGGGATCCTATTTCAAAACTATTAGATTGGCAAATGTAAAAATAATGACAATATCAAATGTAGAATGGATATGGAGAAATCCTTATCCTTTCATATGCTACTTATGATAGTGTATAGCAAAACTGAAATTGTACAAAAAATAAATGTGACAATGCCTCAATATGACATGCATATCCTACAAATGAGCAAATTCAATAAGGAAGTTAACTACAGCATTTAAAAAAAATGTGTGTTTGATTAGAACCTCTGAACTGTATGACACCTTTGAAAGCAGCCTCATCTGTGCATAGCCAGGCAGCAGATAGTATTTTTATGCAAACAAAACAAAACAAAACAAAACAAAAACAACAAAAAAAACAACCCTCAGTAAGTATGGAAACAGTTCCATTGTTTGGCTTGGTGGGCTGGGTGGGGTGGATTGTATCCTGGGTAATTGCTTAGAAAGGGCGACTTCAGAAGTGAATAACCTAGATTCTAGAAGAACATGAGCAGCAGTCCTGTTTGTAGTAAATAAAAATTAGAAACAACCTATGTATTATCGGTAGAAAAATGCATACACATGGGTATATACATTTGTTTTGTCCTCTTTTGTTAAATTGATTTGATAGAGAGAGGGAGGGAGAGAGAAACATCAATTGGTTGCCTCATCCATGCACCCCAACCCAGAACCGAACCCAAAATCAGGGTTCACTCCCTGACCTGTAATCAGACTGGTGATCTTTCAATGCATGGGACAATGCTCAACCAATTAAGGTATACCAGCCAGGGTGTTTTTGTCTACCTTTGAAAATGTAAGAAATAATTTTAAATTTCAGAAAAGTTACAAAAATAGCTCATGCAACTCCCATCATACTTTACTACATTTTCTATTTCTCTTCCTATCTATTTATTTATTTACTGATAAGTTACTCATAGGTATATTTTCTGAGTCATATCCATCATTATATACACACTAGCGGCCCAGAGCATGAATTCGTGCACAGGTAGGGTCCGTCAGCTTGGCCAGCAATCAGGGCAATCGGGGCCACAGGAGATTGGCTGGCAGGCGTGCGGATGGGGGGAGGGACTGTAGGATGATGGCTGGCCCAGGGGGTTGGCTGTGGGAGTGCACTGACCACCAGGGGGAACCTTCTGTACGCAGCATCTGCTCCCTGGTGGTCAGTGTGTGTCATAGCGACAAGTCCACTGGTTCGTTTTTTGGTCCCTTAGGTTTTTATATAGAGAGATATAAACATTTATACACATATATTACTATGTAAATATAATTTTTATGAATAATTTGACACTAAGCTCTTGAGAATGATAAAGTATTTCTAGAAAAAAACTAGAACTATGATAATATTTAGTAGTTGAATATCAAATGCTTTCCTTTGAGGTCATGAACTAGACAGAATTGTCCACCATCACGATTTCATTCATTCATTTATTCATTAATCCATTCATTCATTCATATTTTAATCCTCACCCACGATATTTTTCCATTGATTTTTAGAAAGAGTGGAAGAGAGAGGGAAAGACAGAGAGAAACATCCATGTGAAAGAAACACATCAATTTGTCTCCTGCATGCGCCCTGACCAGGGCCTGGGCCAGGGAGTAGCCTGCAACTGAGGTGTGTGCCCTTGTCTGGACTTGAACCCAGGACACTTCAGTCCACAGGACGATGCTCTTTCCACTGAGACAAACTGGCTAGGGCCACAATCATCATTTTAATTCACAATGTTGTAGATGTCTTAGCACAATTAGCAAATAAAATGAAATAAAATATATTAAGATTGGAAAAGAAATAAAAATCATTATTTGAAGATATTGATTGTGTACCTACAAAATCCAAACAAATCTAAACACAATTAGAAATACTAAATAAAATTTTACTTAGTAGATCATGGCTTCAAAAATCTCAATGCATTTTCTAAGCTCCTCTGTCATTCCTTTGGTTCCCTGAAAAATGGGTCAAATAACACCTGGGTGGGTGTTCACCAACAAATGTGTGAGACTCTCAGTTTATAACAATCAGGTGTTGTGCTTTCAGGCAGCTTTTGGAAAGAGACCTCTGAAAAGCCTCCTAGCTGAGTTCTCCTTACATCACCTTGGCCAAAAAAAGATCAAGGCCCACTTCCTAAGGGGCACGGGACTGACTGGTTTGGAAGAGTCAGCCTCTGGGACTGCATGATCAGCAGAGGGTCTGCACCTGCAGGACCACCAGGGGACTGCCATTGCTATGTTATAAGGCTAGACTCAATGCCAGCCACAGAATGGCAGGGGCATACCTGCTGAACAAGACACAGACCCCATGTATTGGACCAGGGAGGGAGAGGCCCCACATGAATTGAGACTCAATTTCTTTTTCAATAGCATCTGACATTTATTGAAAATAAGGAAAAGACTGTTGTCTAGGTAGTGTAGAAGAGCAGGGCAGAGTGCAGGGGTCACTGTGTTGAACAAAAGGCACACACCAGAGAGACAGCTGCAAACTCAGAAGAGAACTGGGTGCTGGGCAAAACGAACAGGTCCACGGGAGTAAACGAGTGGCTCGACTTGGCTGCTGGGCACCCCTGGGACCTGGCAGCCACCTGGCAGGAATAGAAGGTGTCTCTGGGAGCAGGGAGGGAATGGGCCCCGCTGAAGGAGAAAGGCTGGCCGGCCCCTCCAAGGGCTTGGCGAGCTGCTGGAATGACTGTCCAAGGGCTGTGGCCAGCTCAGATACCTCCTGGGTGAGAAGAGATCACTGGCGGCTGCAGTCTGTAGGTGGGAGGTGGTGGATGGTGCTGGAAGCCTCAGCGCTGGTCCCTGGGCACACCTATGCAGGCCCGCTGGCCTGGCAGGGAGAAGTTGGCAAAGGCTGGTCTGCGGGGGTCTGTCCAGTGTGCAGCGGGAGCCCAGCTCGCAGCTGGAGCCCAGGACAGAGTCCAAGTCCGCAGGGGAGGGGCCGGGCTCGCAGCAGGGGGCGGCCAGCGGTGGCGCACTCCAGAGCCACCCAACTGCAGCAGGAACCTGGGGCGCTATTCCTGGAACAAAGGCAAGCACTAGGTGGGAGGGAACAGGAGCACGGGGAGATCACCGCCACTGGAACACAGGGATGGGGAGGTGCTGTGGGAGGACGACGCCCATGCTGATCTGGGCGGCAGCCGCCAGCCTCCCCGGAGAGCACCTGTCCCAGGGCGGGCCCGAGCGAGGGTCTCCTGGCCTAGAAGTCCTCGTCCTCCACCCAGCCAAAGACCCGCTTCATCTCGGCCAGGAAGCCCCGGTAATCCTTGAGCAGGGGGCTGTCCTTCCTGATGTAGGGGATCACCCACTGCAGGGCCGGCCCCTTGAGGCGGGTGATGAGGAACGTCACCTTCAGGGCATCGCTGCAGAACAGCGTGTCGTCCACCAGCATGTAGGCGCCCGTCTGCACGATGAACTCCGGGAGCCGGTCGGTGTCGCCGTCAAACGTCTCGGGGAAGGGGATGGGGTTCCTCCAGCGAGGCCTCCGGTGCCTGAGGGGTAAGGCCAGGAGGGCCTTGATCAGCTGCATTCGGCCCTCCATCGCACCGCGCTGGCTCCCTCTGGCGCCAGGTTTGGGCTGGGCTGGGCGGAGGTGGGTTGGGCTGGGCGGAGGTGGGCGGAGCTGAGCGGGCGTGGGCGGGCCTGAGCGGACGTAGGCGGGGCTGAGCGGAGGTGGGCGGGGAGGAGGGGAGGGCAGCGCCACTGTGCAGAGGCGGGCCCAGGCCCGAGGAGGGCGGGCACGGGTCACAGGAGGCGCATGCGCGGGCTCCGCCTACAAGGAGGCCAGAGAAACTGGGCTGTGAGCCTGGTCAGGGCCAGGGGAAGGGAGGAGAGGGATGGCTTCCTGCCTTTTCACCCCTTCAGTCCCTGGGCCCCAGCATATCCTTTGCTGACCTTGCAGTCTGTGAACACATTTCCCTGCCTATGGATGTCTCCTTCAGCCAGAGAAGTATTGCATTGCACCAAAATTAAAAAGTCCCAAATGTTGGCCAACATAATCCAGAGCAGGATATTACAATAATGCACCACGAACAATTAATGTAAAGAGGGTTAAATGATAAGAAATCTCCTAATGTACTTTTTAAGAGGCCAAAAGAGGGTTGTCAACCAATGGTCCTTGGCACCAATCCAACACCAACAGGAATCCCAATCTGGGGTGCACGGAAGAAGGAAAATGTATTCAGTGCAAACAGCTCAACTGTGATACAACATGGCTGTGACAACACCAGGGCTGTGGAATAGCTCAGTAGTATTACAGCTCAATTAGGAAACTGCAGGGCTATGAGGAGGCCCTGGGGCAAAGCCCCTCTCCAGCTAAACTGCTCTGCTCTGCTCTGCCCTGCCCTGCTCTGTCTTTTGTGTTCCTTCTTTGGTGTGTCACCTGCAGCCAGGGAAACATCAAATGCTCAGTCAAAAAGGAAAGTTTGCTCTCCCAGGCAGAGGGGAGCTGACTTATATAGACAGAAGTCCCCAGCCCTGGTCCCAGATTACTCTGTCCTTGGGCACATGAGGATGCCAAGTCCTCCCGGTTTGATTGGTCCAGAAAGCACTGTCCTGATGGGTCCTAATGGAAACACTGATTGGTTGGTGAAGATGCTGATGAGGGATATAGCTGTGGCAGCTGGGGATTAGCTGGGGAAAGTCTCAGTCCTATTAGTTGAAATACAATTGCAGAACTACTTTAAACGAGTTGGCTAAGATGGCAGGAACACAGTGCAAGCTGGCAGTTCAGTGTAGGTTTCTTCCTGAAGTGCAGTTTTCCTGACAAGCCCCTGTGTAGAAATGGCTGTGGTCTCTGGTTTTGTTTTTGTTTTTGTTTTTGAGCCCAGTTAGCCACCAGGCGCCCTTCTTAGTGGTATCTTCTTTCTTGGAGTCAACAGGATTATCAGTATAGAAACAAAGAGTCAAAAGTAAGAGTTGTTGGATGCTGTCCAATCATGACATTACCATATTTTCCGGCATATAAGACGACACTGTGTTCTAGTAAAAAGCCTGCTCAGATTGGCCAGAGTCAGAGAGGCGGTCCATTAAAAAAAGAACTGGTGTTGCCTTGGAACTGGTATTGCTGTAGTCTTATACAGCAAATATAGGCCTAAACCTATGTTTTAACTGTAAAATTAGGGGGTCGCCTTATACGACGGAAAATACGGTACAGTACCACCATATCCCACACATGTAATAAATTTCCTTAATTTTCATTTAACAATAATTGTGTACCGTATTCTTCTTCATGGAAAAATAAGACAACCCCTGAAAATAAGACCTAGCGGACCTTTTGGAGCAAAAATTAATATAAGACAATATCTTATTTTCGGGGAAAGAGGGTACCTCAGTAGGGGCGGGTTAGTGCCCCCAGTGTGGAAAGTGATTTTGGGGGACTTGACACAGCTCTCTCCCCGATGTCAAAGCCCATAGACAGGGCCGTGGGGGTCGCAGGACACTCCGTTGTGAGATGCCCTGGGGTGTGGGCGGTGGGGGCCTCCGAGGCTCACGGAGGCCCATGGCTGTCCAAAAGGGGGGGCTGGCCTCCCTATGCTTGTGGACCTAGGCCCTGGGTGGCAGGCAACCTGTGAGCAGAAGGCCATCTGCCCTTGGGGCTTTTATGCAGCGAACAACACCTCCAGAGGTGGGCCGGTAGCGCTCTCCCCCCCACCCCGACCCCCACACCGACCCCCACAGTGTGAGGAACAGGGCAGCCAGGCCAGTGCTGCTCGCTCATTGGTCCAATGAATGAGGGGGCGGGGTTTCTGGAACAAGGGGCCGAGGCCAGGTCTAGTGCTGAAGATGGTCATGTCAGCAAGGGGGCGGGGCCAGGAGAAGGGCAGGCAATTGTGACCTAAGCAGGAGAAAGGCTGGTTGCCAGGGATACTGGGAGGTGGGGAGGGGGTCAGGGATGGGGAGAAGGCCTGCTGCCAGGCAGCAGCGACCTAAACAAGGAGGCTGGGGTTTTGGGGGGCTGGCTCAATGATCAGCCAGAAGCGGCCAAGCCAAGAATGGATTGGGGCCAGAGGCAACACCCGGAAGTGGTCCAGTGGATAAGGCCATGGGGCCCTGTGAATGAGGATGGGGGTCCCCAGTGGGCACAAAAGCCCCATCTTCCCCTGGTCCAGACTGGATGCCAGCAAGAAGGTCCCTTGTCCTCAAGGAAGGGCTTTCCCGCAGAATGCGGCAGAAAGCTGGCCCTCAGGGCCCAGTGATCAGTAAGTACTGCGTTTCCCTGAAAATAAGACATCCTCCGAAAATAAGAACTACTTGCAGGTTTCCTTCTGAGTGAAATATGAGGCGTACCCTGAAAATAAGCCCTCCCCCTACCCTCTAGGCCAAACATGAGAGTTTTGGTCCACTGATTCTGAAAGAAATGGAGTCACAAGAAATTCACCAGGAAATTCAGGAATTGGATTGTTTATGATCATGTTCAAAAGATGTTGACATGATGGTCATTGAATAAATGAGTAAATTCTTGATACTGTAGGAGTCTCAGTTTTTCGGATTTGTGTTGACAACTACTGTATTTTCCGGCGTATAAGACGACACTGTGTTCTAGTATAAAGCCTGCTCAGATTGGACAGAGTCAGAGAGGCGGTCTATTAAAAAAAGAACTGGTATTGCCTTGGAAGTGGGGGGTAGTCTTATACAGCGAATATAGGCCTGAACCTATGTTTTAACTGTAAAATTAGGGGGTCGTCTTATACGCCGGAAAATATGGTACCATACCACCATACCCTACACATGTAATATATTTCCTTAATTTTCATTTAACAATAAATGTGTACCGTATTCTTCTTCATGGAAAAATAAGACAACCTCTGAAAATAAGACCTAGCACACCTTTTGGAGCAAAAATTAATATGAGACAATATCTTATTTTCGGGGAAAGAGGGTACCTCAGTAGGGGCGGGTTAGTGCCCCCAGTGTGGAAAGTGATTTTGGGGGACTTGACACAGCTCTCTCCCCGATGTCAAAGCCCATAGACAGGGCCGTGGGGGTCGCAGGACACTCCGTTGTGAGATGCCCTGGGGTGTGGGCGGTGGGGGCCTCCGAGGCTCACGGAGGCCCATGGCTGTCCAAAAGGGGGGGCTGGCCTCCCTATGCTTGTGGACCTAGGCCCTGGGTGGCAGGCAACCTGTGAGCAGAAGGCCATCTGCCCTTGGGGCTTTTATGCAGCGAACAACACCTCCAGAGGTGGGCCGGTAGCGCTCTCCCCCCCACCCCGACCCCCACACCGACCCCCACAGTGTGAGGAACAGGGCAGCCAGGCCAGTGCTGCTCGCTCATTGGTCCAATGAATGAGAGGGCGGGGTTTCTGGAACAAGGGGCCGAGGCCAGGTCTAGTGCTGAAGATGGTCATGTCAGCAAGGGGGCGGGGCCAGGAGAAGGGCAGGCAATTGTGACCTAAGCAGGAGAAAGGCTGGTTGCCAGGGATACTGGGAGGTGGGGAGGGGGTCAGGGATGGGGTGAAGGCCTGCTGGCAGTGAGGCCTGCTGCTAGGCAGCAGAGACCTTAACAAGGAGGATGGGGTTTGGGGAGGCTGGCTCAATGATCAGCCAGATGCGGCCAAGCCAAGAATGGATTGGGGCCAGAGGCAATACCGGAAGTAGTCCAGTGGATAAGGCCATGGGGCCCTGTGAATGAGGATGGGGGTCCCCAGTGACCGCAAAAGCCCCACCTTCCCCTGGTCCAGACTGGATGCCAGCAAGAAGGTCCCTTGTCCTCAAGGAAGGGCTTTCCCCGAGAATGCGGCAGAAAGCTGGCCCTCAGGGCCCAGTGATCAGTAAGTACTGCGTTTCCCTGAAAATAAGACATCCTCCGAAAATAAGAACTACTTGCAGGTTTCCTTCTGAGTGAAATATGAGGCGTCCCCCGAAAATAAGCCCTCCCCCTACCCTCTAGGCCAAATATGAGAGTTTTGGTCCACTGATTCTGAAAGAAATGTAGTCACAAGAAATTCACCAGGAAATTCAGGAATTGGATTGTTTATGATCATGTTCAAAAGATGTTGACATGATGGTCATTGAATAAATGAGTAAATTCTTGATACTGTAGGAGTCTCAGTTTTTCGGATTTGTGTTGACAACTACTGTATTTTCCGGCGTATAAGACGACACTGTGTTCTAGTATAAAGCCTGCTC